CTCATATCGTCCCTTTTTTGTAGCTGTTGGTCATGTACCACGTCGAAGTCATCGCCTTGCCAATGCCAGTCAGTCAGAGAGGCCCCCAGTTCATCCATACAAAAGAACAAGTATGATCAATCCGTTTTGACACTCGATCTTTGTAATCGTGTTCATTGGGTTTTAAGTTGTGAGAAAATCACCTTACCGTGACCTAGGTACAAATTTTGGCTTTCGACCACGCCCACTTTCCTTTTTTTACCCACTTCGTTTCTCCCTGTTGTCATTACTTGTCTTTAGCTGCCTTGATCAGTCATTGGAAAAGGTTGATCTGAAATTAATGAGGGAGGGGTGGGGCTTTAATAGTGCAGAAAGAGCTGTCAAGATTTTCATGGAAATAGCCATTCCCTATGGAATTCGTTTTGGTCTCGGCGATACTTGAAGAGTGTTTAGTCTAAACACTCTGTGGAAATTATGAAAGATAGTGTTTGTGGTTGGAGTACAAGAATTGGAGCTCATCCCACAAATCGATAATTCCCTTAGAGTAATGTGCGGCAAATAGTGAGTTTTCTCGCGTCTTCAGGTCAAACTGGTGACACTCCACCTCTGCTACCGCGGCGTCAGTGTTCTTCCAGTCGTCAGTATAGTCGACCGAACAGTGGCAAAGAGTGTTCATACGACACTGTACACAGCGTCGAATCGGAGCCATCAGCCTTGCAGCAAGTAAACAATTCACTGCAAGACATCAATCTTCCTTCAATAGTGCCCAAGCCTTCATCACGAAACTCGGCACCAGGTTCACGGGGTTCCTCCGCGGGCCGGAGATCTACGACAAGGGCGATGGAGTTAGGGTAGGAAAGATTTATTCCCCTAATAAATAATTATACCGGTGCTGTTGTATTCGTGATCATTTTTTATTTTCTTGAGTGGAGGGGTGCGTGTTGGGTTGTTTTCTTTCATATACTGAAATTTTTCTCGTAACAGCGCGGATTCCACAGCCTGGTTATAACCAAGGATCTGATCATTTGTAGCTACATACACATGTATTTCTACGATATTTAATCATTTGGTGCACTGACTTTCATGAATACTCTTCAACTTTTCCGAACTAATCCAATGTTGCTGTAAAAATGCAGTATATATGTATGTATGAATTTCGCTGTGTAAGCACACTTCATAAATGGTATTTCTTCGGCGTAACAGCATTCTGGAGGAGGAGAGGTATAGCGTGCTTGTGAAATATTTATCCTGAATTTTATAGTGAGACCCCATGTCATCAGCATCATTGATCCATCTGCGCCTTCGCTTTTTCAATACACGGGTCAAAACTAAAGTTTAGCTTTCTGAAGATTTTCTGACCCCTTATGTTTCGTGAAACATCAGAACACCAGATGCAACCAATCGCGTTCCCTCTGAGGCTTACAACGCGTCACGTGGTTTGGCGGCTCGCGCTACTTCGTACAGCCGCCACTCGAGCCGCGGGAACTCAGCTGACTTTCCAAAGACGAAAAAAGACGTCGTAGTTACGGGCACGAAAGTGAATAATAACTTTTATAGGAACAATAGCGGAGGAAGAGCACGTTCCCTGCATCTCACTTCAGTGGAAAATCCTTTCCTGGAACAGGGAGCAATGGAAAAAACTTTCACACAGAGGAAACAAGAAAGAACAGAAATGCAGGAACAGTTAAGTTATCTGGAAATAGTTCTTAGTGGGGTGTATGGGGTGGTTAAAGGTTTACGGTAGTGTGTTGCCTTCATAGCCATTTGTTTCGAGGTTTTAGTGTAATATGTTATAAACTGACAGCAAAAGTTGGTGAAAAATGTAACAAGTCGAAAGGAGGAAGTATTTGCCTCATCCGCATATATTTTTGTTTGTTTGTAATCATTTTTTTTTGTTTTATTTGTGATATTTTTGTGTTTTGTTATTATAATTGTTTGTCTGTTTTGTTATTGTTTTATGTGTTTTGTTTCTAATGAGATATTTCTTTTTTTGTTTTTTGCGACCATTATAAATGTTTCTGGGTAGATGGCCCCCGTCCTAAAAAATTTTTCACAACCTTCACTTTTTTTACTCGATGAACAACGAAATAGCACAATTTTTATTAAATTTGGTAACTCGAAAATTTGTTCAGGGCTTTTGCTGCATAAATCTTAACAGTATGCACTGTACCTTTATTATCGTAGAATTGCCTCGACAAGATTTTCGTCACAAGAAGGCCCACAGGATCAGAACTCCTATATCACTGACAAAAAAGAAACATCACAAGCAACACAACGAAGTGGAATAACACCATCGGGAAATTTTACCGTGGGCACAATGTTTATGGCCCATTTTGGTAACAGACCACCATTCATTGGAAGCTCCTGGAATATTTTTGGGGTACCGACCTATATGAATAAGGACTCTAATTCAGCTCCTTACGCGTACACGAGACGAACACAAAGTAGACACCACCCGTTTTGAGGAGTACACGTGTACATAATGCCCTCATTGCTAATATCGGATTGGTTACGCCGCCATGGGAAACACATCTTAAGTAGTCAAGGAGCTACGCAGTAGTGATTACCTTTGAGTCTCCGGGTTAACCTTCGCAATCCTGGCTCTTCATTGTTTTTGTTTTTTTTGTTTTTTTTTTTTTTTACTGTCCGTTCAGAGTTTTTTTCCAACTAACTTTTAAATAATCGTCTGCCAATGAAGAGCAATTTTTTAATTAAGTGTCGAAAGCAATCCGAGATAACTTCGGTTTTACTTGACTTTGAGTTTACCTTGGTTCCTGATGTTTTCGTTCCGTCTGATTTCTGTTGTCATCAATGTTAAAAATTGGTTTTACGACACACTCAAAATGTGCTTAAACCTGGTCAATTTATATAATTAAAATTATGATAGTTTTTTTAACAATCAGGATCCATAACATGACTTCATGTTACCAAAAGCCGCAAAGGTTGAGTGAGAGCCTCTGACCCGGCATCTTTCCATAGGCATCCCCCTTTTCCCTGCCCCTGAGCAAGTAGAGGAAACGTTGCAATCTAACTCCGCATCGCCGCATACCCAGTTGACAAGTCATGGCAAATTAAACCCTTATCAAACCTAAATTGATATGATATACATTGAACTTCTCCCATTGAAAAGACATCCATTGAAAACTTTCTCTTGATGTAATCCTAGATCTCTCTAGCTTCCCTTGGGAATTAAAGGTGGAGGGGGGGGGGGCATTGGGAGTGTGCAAGATGATTTAATGTGAGTTTTTTGAGTTTGTGATCCAATCCATATCGCATCTATATATCTATATTTTTTCCTTACTTCTTTTCATTCGTAAGCAGTAAGTATTTCCGTTCATGTATATTGGGTTAAACATGTGAAAATATATATATAAAAAAAAAAAAGAGTGAGAAATTAAATCTGGGATGACTTTTTTGTCGACGGACGCAGTGTGTCTGCTCCAAAAGTAGCATTTGTGTGTAATTTATGTATAACCCCTTATATACCCTCGGTGAAAGTGTTGTTTCCACTTTACTGGTAATTTGGCTAGCGTGATCAAATGCATGCTTATTAAAAAATGAAATATTTTCTTACAATCAATTGTTTTTGTGACTGAGACTGTTTTGACTGAGTTTTGTTTAGTACCACTTGGTGGCATTTCCCAGTGGTAAATGTATTGAGTGCGTACCCCATCCGGTAGCGGATGTTGACAAGAGAAAACCTTGACCATTGAATTAGATCGACGAAAACAAAACAAGAGGGGAACACGCGAGAAATTGGCAAAAGAAAAATAGCGAACTTGTAGAGATTTAAGTCTTACCTGCTGTGTCCATTTACTTCCCTTGTAATGGTATATTTTAGTTTTATCGTTCTCTCTGAGATTCTCAGTTATGCGTAAATCTAAGTGGCTTACATACGTCAAGGGCGATTTCGGCCTCGAATAGGTATCCATTCTGAGTTTTTCAGTGCAGAAACCTGAAGTCAGTGCTTGCCCCTCGACGAATTTGCTCCAACGTTCTCTGTTCACTTGCACGGTGAAGACGTTCTCTATTTCTATTGTCGCATGGGAGGCCAGTTTCCTAAGGCTCGAAACCAACTAATGATCCGACGAAACAGTATTGACTTTGGATATTGCGAGTCAGAGCAGAATAGCACCTTAGTTTGATATTCTTAGATTTGTGAGAGTCATTCGTCTTCCTGAATCTTGAGATCAGACAGGTTTCCAATATCTTTTTCGTACTTATGATTGTTGATTTTTTTATTCGCATGTGCTTCCGTTGCCTTCTCTTAATGATGACTCGACAAAAGCCTATGATATCATATGGAGTGACACTGCGCTTTTATGAAGGCTGTGGTATAACACAACACCGTAAATGTTCAAAGAGGAAGCTTTAAGGCGCCAAGACAGCAATTGCGGGTTTGGCGCCGGGTGGAGAGGTTCTATCTGCAAAAATGAAATTTCTCTCCCTTTGTTCTTTTTAACATAATTAGTGGCTAACAATGTAATGATGAAAAGATTGAGCACTTTCTATTGCAAGGAAATCACAATTTAATTGTCAGAGTGTACACATAATTTATATGTTGTAGTTCAATTTTATCCTTGGTTCGAATTTTATTTTCCTTTGTTCTCGGTCATGGTAATGTATGATAATGAGTTTGAAACAAAGGAAAATAAAATTTGAACCAAGGATAGAATTGAACTACAGCATATACATCTTTCCTTTTCCAAACTTGTTTGAGATGTCACCATGTAAAAATAGTGTTTTGATATTGAGCGACAGAGATTAATGGTTTAACTAATGAAATATCGAAAAAGGTTAAAGTGAGCTATGACGTTAAAACACTCAAAAATGGAGTAAACAAGATTAATATCTTAAGATGAATATACTAGTGTTTACGCGAACGATCAAAATACAGAAAACGATTCTGGTATCTTATCTACAGGATCTAAAACAGTGATTCCTTTCTGCGTAGAAACAGAAAAATCGAGAAATCATCCCTAAAAAGTGGCGAGACTTCATCGTTTGAAGGATAGACGAGAAGAGCAAGGCTGCGACAGTTCTTATTTAAACATCCAATTGAAGGGAAAAAGAACGAAAAAAGAAAAGACAAGTGTAAAGGATGGTAGCTTCATTGGAAAAGAGACGGCATCTTCCTGCAATTCAATACATACCCGCCCACCTTTCTAGGAAACCAACACTTTCATAAGCAATAAGCATAGGAAGAGAGATCAAGTAAAGGAAGAGCTTGACCTTTCTCTTTTTCTAGTCTTTAATTTTCGTTCACGAAAGACCTCAGTTGGCGCCACAGATATCCCCCACAGTTCCGAGAACACTTTACCAACCGCGACTTTGAATAATATCTAGGGTCCTACATTAACTTGTATCCAGTTACTAATACTCAACTTCTGAAAAATGGCCTGGGATAACGTTTTCAAGGTTTAACACTAAAGGCAACAACTCAGCTTAGTTTATCTGCATGGGTTTTGGTTTGGCAGTTAAAGTAGCTCCGAGACTGCCTGTCCTTGTGGTATTATGTTGTGGGATAGATAACATCTCTCAATGGCTTATTTACAGATCATTTACTTTTCAATGACCATTTCGGCGCCGTTTCGCGTCCTTTCCAGTTATTCTTTGGAGTTAGTGCTGATTGCCACAGTCCTTTTGTAAGCACGGAAAGCATGAAAGGCTCTTTCATATTCGTGAAAATGAGGTGTATACACTGTAGCTTACAGAGTTGATAAGTATGTTGCGTGCTGTGGGCATTTGTCGGCTTCGGTCCTCACCCCAACGTAGGTGTTTCATAACAACTCAGGAAGGAACCGCCGGATAGAGGCTTCAGTGTACACTAAGTGATATTCCACTGCCTCGTGCCTTGTTAGGCTTGTCCTCATTTATGAACCAACGTCTAACTCAAACAAAGAATATTTGTTGGACTATGAACTATTGTTTATAAACTATCCTTTGATCTATGCTATTACTAATCACCCTGACTCTTTCTTACAAAACCCCCCCAAAGTTTAAGAAGTGCTACCGACACACACTAAAAGAAAGATCTTATATTGTGTGCAGTGAAATGAGATTAAATCTGTTTTGTGAAATTATCTTGCAGTACCAAAAATCAACTTCGCCAGTTTGACTTTTTTAGCTTCGGTCTTCCACAAAATTCAACTGAAAATTGTGTAGATTGATTTGCATAAACATCCGGCGATGTTCTTCAGAGCTTTGTTTACATAGAAGTTAAATGATACGGTACCTACGGCTAAGTTGATGTTAAGTTGTGTCCAGTTCGCTCAAATTCTCAAAACTGACAAATGTATTATCATCTCTTATCATCGTTAAAAGAAATCCCAATCGGGGTAAGACTTTTTCCATTCCGTCCTTTCTTGTGTAGTGTTTCGTAGGTAGTTACTAAAACTGAGTTTTCTTCAGTGTATTACTCTCTTTTCGCGCCAGTAAACAGAGAAACCAATTAAACAACAGTTGAAATTTTTAGTCAAAAATATAGTATCGGTCATTAAATATAGCATCAGGGTCATGTATGTTAAAGACGCTCAAAACAAGGCCCCTCTCGTGCATTTTCTATCCTCACGTAAGCTGCTACGTGAGGAGATAAAAGAGAACGTTCGGGAATGGATAACAATCAAAGCCGTCAGTCGTCCTATTTTTATTTCAGAGTTGTACATATTGCAATTTACGCCCACCTCAGCTTGGACATGTATTTGTCACGTTTGAAATTGATCCGTTTATTTACCTCTTAGCAACAGTTGGCTTCTGCTCCCTTAAATTACAGTTGAGAATTGATTAATGGGTTTTACTGAATCCTCATTGACACAACAAAACTACTTTGCTTTTGTCCCATAACTGGATTAGTGGGTGTGGGTATCATGTCTCTTCAAAAAGGGGCACGTTTTTTAATTTAGTCACGAGCAAAACAGCATGCAGATAACCAAGCATGACGTTACTTTTGTCTAGTACCGTATGAATTTAACTGTGAAAGCGCCTTAATCCACACCCCACTAATTGCTTGTGATCTTGCCCGCTTTCATTTCATTATCATGTAAGTTTTCTTCAAGTCTAATCAACCATAAGTCATTTGCCGTTGGCAAGGGAGGTTAAAGAATTTAATTTGGAACTTTTTGTATCTTCTGAACGAAGGAGCTGATTCGTCTATCTACATTTTATTCTCGACTTCTTGGTAATTTTTTAAGATTGCAGCAAAAGGTGAACGATTAAGCCATGTACTATTATGCAGGTGACCACTTTTCAGTTGGTCTAAGTCCCCGTCTTTGTTTTTCAAGTGCGTCCTTAGTTTAAATCAAGGCGCGTTGGACGTGAGAAAAAAAATGATTTCACTTAATTTGTTCGTGCACTTGTGCATTCCCAACGAAAAAAATCGTAACCCTTAAAAGAGTTCACGGCAAACTGAATATCAACTCGTGTACAACTGGTCCAAAATATACATTTCATGTCCAATTCCTAAATGAAATCTCCCTCAGGCCATGATGGTAGCTCGCAGAATTTAGCTTAAAGCAAAGGTTAGCAAAATATCTCGGTTTTGATGAATTTTTGTGGAAATTCATTAGATACATTCTCTTCTATTATCTTTTTTCCCAGCACTTTGTTTGAAAGCTACAATAAATGATACTCACTATGTAACAGGTTTACGACATTTTACTCTCATTTAGATGCAAGAAAGCAAATACTGAACTCAATAATATTACAACAGAAAGTGATATATGGCTGAAAGAATACAAGACAAGTCACATATTCTTAAAATACTTCTTACGTAGCATTTAGTCACTTCTCGCAAGTATTTCTCTCGTGATTCGAGGACTTTGTTTAATCACTTGCACTTGGATTTTTTACATCGTTCCGTTCATTCTACTGTTAACAAGTATGTGGGGTCTTGTATAGAGTGTTTTTTTCCTATGGGCGAGTGAATAAAATTCCGTTGGAAGCTCAAACACCTTCTTTGCACGCAATCTGCACATTTCTGTTCATTTTCATCACGCACAGCCCTATTCCACTAACTGCCCTGATGGGCTTGTAATACTGAAACCCTGACGCAACCTACAAACAAATTGGAGCTGATACGATCTTCGATAACCCAATATGTGCTCTTAAACTGCTGCAAGCTAATTACTTCACCATTTGAAGACCTCTCGAGCATAGCTACGTAGACTTGATGGTTGCCGAAAACTTTAAGCTTGAAATGCCTCATCATCGAAATTTGCAGGTTCCTTGCAAAGTTAATTAAAAATTAATAAAAATCCTGCTTCATCGAATTACAGCCCACTCGAATATCCTTTTTTTGGAAGGAATTTTTGTTTCTTTCCGTTACGACAAATTAGCTGCTGAGTACTTTTTCGTCATTTGAAGCAAAATGATGATTAATAACCCCATATGGCTGCTCATTAGAGTACAAGGTCACGTCATGCTTATCACCACGCAACCTTTGGAAACATCGGCAATTATCGCCAAAACAAAAGATGATGTTCTGATTGGCTGATTGGCTATAAACACTTTAGACCAGAAAGAGGTTCTCTCGCATTTGTAATGAACGTTGATATCGGGCAGTGTACAAGACTACCAGCGAGAAAATCAACTTACGACATGGCTCTGCCCGTAGAAAGAAAGCATTGAGGATAATTCTCTAATTAGCAGACTTTTTTCAGCTTTGACTCGTCGGAATGATTTCTGAAACGTTGGAGGGATGGCTGACCATTTTAGGTAAGTGACTGAGCTACTGATAGAAAATTAAAGATCGGAAATTACAGAAGAATGGCTTGCTAATTCGAGTTTTCCTTCTCCGTCGCAGCCGAGGACGGAAGCGAATGGCTGAGCCGATTATGCGTTCTCTTCGCAAACGAGAAGAAACTGAGGTCGTTTATCGATGACATAGTAAGTACTTTGTCATTCTTTCCTAAAAGGAGTTGTGTAGCAAAGTTAACAGTCTTCGTCAACACAACATTTTAAGTGACTCAAACATTCCCTTTTATCTATTTCAGGAATATCTTGATTGTGCTCGGTTTTTGGCGGCCACAGCTAAAATCAAGGCCAAACTTTGCGACAATTCTGATCTTATCTTGAATCCAACACACGAAGGTAACCTTTACTAATTTCTTCCATAAATATGCTTATTTTTTTTAAAAAATTCAGCCTTAACGACTCTATCGTTTTCCCGTAGCAAGCAAATGAATATTCACTTATTTAAAATATGGAACCCGTATCACAATATTATCAAGGCCCTAAATTTGATAGTTCATGCCGACTGTAGGTGTGTTTTGCGTCATGTAGTATTACCCTTTTATGACTTTATCTAAACAACAGCTTTTTTTGTAGCGTGCTGTATTTGGCCGTCTTTGGCTATAAACAACAAGGCTAGAAGAGCTTTCAATAACTAAGGGTTCAGTTTAGTGTATTATACAAGTCAGCTCCCAGCAGTTTTGCCCGAAGCAAGGCCTTTCGTTTGACTGAGATTTTCACTGATAGCAAAATGGCTTTTACAATTCATTATTATGACATTTGCGAAATAGCGATTGCATTATTTGCAATCAGCCCGAAGAAAAAATTTGAAAGCTCTATAGGACTGACCCTTCAATAGCGAATTTTCCTGATAATTGCTCGCACTAAGATGCGTTTTTCAGCCCTGAACTGACGAATGGTTGCCTCACGTTATATTATCCTTAATTTTTGTTTTGCTTGTTTAAACAATTACAGAGTAAACCTCTTGTTTTGAACACTGATGACCAAAACAAATTCAAGCCTGAGTGAAAATATTGCCTCGGTTCACTAATCTCTTTATCCACTCAAAGCAGACTGTTGCCCTTTGTTTTTCATTCAATAAATTTGTAAAAGCATTAACAGGACTCCTTTTATGTCAGTCTGCCGTGTTGTATTGTTGAAAGATAATTACTCACGGGAATCTTCGATTAAACATTCTTTCATACTTCGCGAAAAAGCAAAGCGCAGCAAGTAACGTCGAGCCGAAAGCAAGACCTCTCCTTTTAGTGCTAATTTTGTCATTTTTACCCGTCAGGATACAATGTTTAGTCACCCGATAGCAATTACCATTGTTCCGACGAGTTGCCGCTCTTTAGTATTTCCTAAGTGAATAAATTCTTTACGGAACATTAACTGTATGGTTAAAAAAAGATCGTCAACTGAGTTAAAACACATTAAAAAGCTTTTTATAGCTCGCGATTGTTTCAAAATAGCAAGAGAAAATCGAAATTTTATCTAAATCTTTCGAACTTTGTAAAAATACTCCTCTTTATGGCAGATTACAGGGCCTATATTCACCTAAAGACTGTTGTCCTATCATCTGCTCACGTCCTGTTGGCGGTTCTCAAAAGCAGCGGTTGTCCAAGCTGTTAAAGTGTCAATCAAAGACACCGACTTGGCGTAAATTCTCTCTGATCTTACCGCAGCGCGATCGCACACTATTTAGAGGCTTCTGACAATTTTTTTTTTCCTTTTTTTTACCAAACTTTTTACAAAATTTGTTGATTATTCTGGATAAATATTACCTGTTTTACTTTAAAAGTTAAGGTCGTTCATATTTCATTGCAACATAAGGGACTAACTAGTTTCTTTTCTGGTAATCTTCCTTAACATGTTTGATGTAATTGTCGTAAGAAAGTTTTCTCTAGTTGTCGTCGATAGCAAATTTGAGAAGAAAGGCTGAATGCTACGATTAAAACGTGGGTTTTGCGGTGTTTGTTAGGCTAAGAAAAGGATTACTTTAAACAATCGTTCCTCTTTTCAAAAGTAATTAGCCATGATTTTGTTGACCAAACCGAGTCACGTCAATTTTTCTTTTATCTCCTCTATATCTACCAACTGAGAGAAAAAAAAGAGAAAAAGATTAGTCAGTATTGTTCGTCTTCTTGTTTTTACTAGATTTGTCAAAGGCTTTCATTAGAAGATTTTAAATATCGGGTTTGATTGAATATTCTCTTTGGCAGTTTTACCTTTATAATGTGCACGTGGGTAGTTTAGTCCCGGATTATTGTTAATGATAAGACTGAATATGCAGTGGTGTCACTTTCGTTTAATCACGTTTGAATTTGGGTGTTTTAACTTGCTTTTTGTTCGGCAATATTATTTATTGACCTTTTATTTCATTATAAACAAGTCTTTTAAAGAGTATCAAATTTCGTTTAAGGCAGTATTTTTTTTGCCCGGTGTTTGAAGTACAAACGTTTGAGATATTTTACAATAACTGTAGTTTGAAAAAATTTCGATTTTTTTAGAGAAATCGGTTGATTAAAACATAGAAAAGTGGCTAGTAGACTTTCGATTTAAAGTCTTATTTTCCAAGAGAACTATAGGTTACTCAGATTGGAATTTAGGTTTTTCCTTGCTTCTTTTTTGACTAGTAACGATCACAGCCAGTCATTCTCTTGTTTTGTTTTGTTTTTTTTTTTTGGTTTTTTTTTTTTTTTACTGTCCTTTAACTTTATTTTTAGTCTGCTCGTACGTAATGGTAAAAGTATTTTTGAAAGTAAATATTTTAACAACGGTTGCAACGATAGAAATTTCTTCCGCATAGTAAACTCAGTGTGCTTCATTCCAACGTATTAAGTGCTAGATTTTTTTTTAGCCAGGGTGATTACACGTATTGCTCAACGCTGAGCGGCAAAATGTGAGAAACGATTCAAGAAAAATCAGTCTAGAACCTAATTCAAATTAGGTATTCCATAGTCTCATTGCTACCAGAGTCTCGGCTAACCCCCTCAAAATATTCGTTTCACGACTGGTTTTTTCGGTTTCCGTTTACCCACGTAAGACCCCTCGCCTTCTACCAAATAAGGAAAAATGGAAGCGTCTTGATTTTATCGTAAATGAATCGGCGGCTCAGAGAATCGCCATCCATCCGAACACCTGACAACATGGTTTTCAACATGTTTTTTTTTTTTTTTTTTTTTTTTTTTTTTTTTTTTTGAAGTTATAAAGAGATATTTAATTAAAACTCAGGAAAACTATTAAAAGTGAGAAAAACATGGAAGGCGATACGAAAGACCACCTGATTCAGATATTGCTTTAACACATTAAATTGGAGTTTATATTGAGAACATTTGGAAAAAGTCACATGCTTGTCGCTAGCGTGGTTAAAGCCACTTCAATGAGCTTTGGCGGAATGTTTTATAAGGCTTCATTATCTGTTTAAGTGCCAAGTGTATTACAATAGCTTGAAAACTCCAAAGGCGCTCATTTACTCCCAGAAACTGATTGAACCATGTTTTTATTGCAGTATTTCAGTGCACCGCGATTCTTCCCAAAGCTTTTGTATTTACAAAGTAATTGTTCCCTTTATTGTGGTCATGTTTACTCCTTTCATAAAATAAATGGAATGTCACGAGCGCCCTCATTGGCCACAACCTGTAGTTTATTACACCAGCAAACCCATAGAAAGTAATATTGACAATTACTGTGTTTTGTTTGAAGTTTGATTCGTAGAAACATAGACTGCACGTCTATCGGTTTACCGGCGTAAAGGGCAAAATATGACATGGCATACAGGTGTATTTTTATCATAGCCAAGTAGAAAGCAGAAGATACCTATTACAAGGCCAAAAAACTGATTATCATGAAAATAAACTTATTCAACAAATCAATAGATTTTTGAAAAAAAAAAAAGGGGGGGGGGAGAGAATGAGCATCGACCTCAAAACTTTTGAATAAAAACGTGTCTGGCCATGAGGTTGATTTTCTTTCTTTCTCTTCTCAAGCTCCTGGAAGAGAACTGAATGAGAGTACAAGTTCGTTACAAATCTCACTTCGACTTGTTGCCTAGTGAAAAAAATTTCTTTTCCTGTTTACTTAGGGAGATTTTGTAGGAATACGATAACTACCAATTAGAAAGCTTTACTCAGTATGTTAGTTTCGAATTATCAACTTCTCCTGACAATATCAATACATTTCCCAGCAAACAAGTGATGACAATTGAGAGAATTATTAACAGGTAATGTTATCTTCATTTAACACCAAATTCTCTCAACCAATTCACAAGGAAACGCATAACACAGAGAGGGGGGGACTATTCCCGAGATGTTTAGAGTTACAGGGTTAACGGAAGTAGATCTTATGCAAGTGATTGTAACTTAGAAAGAAATTGGACCCAGAGACCGACAAAAGTCCTAACAGCGGTGTCCTGGCGAGAAACTGAAGCAAGCAGAATAGGCCATTCCCGAGTTCCAAACGGCCTCACTTTAAAAACGAGGCCACGTGTAAAGCTATATTGAAAATGTACTGAATTCGAGTCATTTTCATTTTCAAAGATTCAAACTTGGCCTCGTTTAAATCGGAGGTTCAGATATCTGGGAAATGGTTCATTTCTCATCGCCTGATAAAAAACAGCCAGATATAAGGTGCTTCAAAATGCGACCTATATTCTCAATGGAAACGACCTTCACCTTCGTGTCTCGAGTTTGGGATGCCTGTGCCCCATGATCACTAATTATTAGACCTCATACCTGAGAAGGAATAACTTTATTGCTCATTATTTTTTGCAGGCCTCTCCCGCGCGCACCGTTTGTCTCGGAGGAGCCGTTCTGAAAACGCCTTGTCAGCAGCACTGAACGGAAACCGCTCTAAACTAAGTGTAAGTTTCCGGTTCTTATGATCTCGTGATCTAATGATGACTGTAATTAACCACAAGACTGTTTAACACAACATTTGCAATCACCAGTCATGCTGCCAGAAAAATCAGCGTATTTTCTCATCGATGCACCCTGATAAATCGGCAACCCTCTTGGTTCCAAAATTTTGTCAATATTTGAACGTTTTTTTTTTTTTAATCCCTCGTAGTTTCAAGGATTTACAAGCCGAAAATGGTAGAACTCTAACCCAAGTTGAGCTGTAGGATCGCCTTTATTTTTATTTCTTAGTGAGGGATTTGGAGAGGGGGCGAAAGTCGTTCAACCCAAATTCTACTTTAAGGAATTAAATTTTGAATGTTTGATCGCAACATGTCAACGATATCTAGGTAGTTTAGCATGTGAGAGGTTTTGGAGGTGGCCCAATTATTTCTTGAGAGCTACTTAATCTTTAAATCTCAAAAGCAAAGCGAACTTTGATATCAATCCTCCACCCAACAGCCCCGAGCAAATTGGTCTCCCTGTGGAGTTGTTGTTGTTATGATAAGATTCTGCCAAATTCTTTCACTCAACAGAGAAACATTGATTTAATTTTATGGTTTTATTGAGGAAACTTTCGCTACTTAGTAGAATGTTTTAAATTGAATTTATCCCAGTGATCAAAACTTAGCTCTCAGACAAATTTGTAACAGTGACCAATTTACATGATTTAAAGTAAGTCCGTATGAATTGCAAAGTGAACCCCCCCCCTCCCCTGTGGGTACTATGGTTTAAGTGCAACAATACTCTTTTAGGAGATAAAAATCTTAAAATGGTATTGTTCGGTTCTAAATTTTACACTTGGGTTCAGCAGCCCGCATTTTTCCTCGATGTTATCTTGTTTCAAGTTAGTTGCCAGTTGTAATATACCTTCCTTTTAAGGGATTTTACTCATGTTCATCTACCAGTATAGCTATCCTTTGTTAAATTTAACACCATATTAAGTATAGTGACCCAGAAGATGCGAAATCACGGTAAAACTGTTTTGGAATTTTTCCCCAAATTATTAAGGCCTTGATCCTTTTACTGAAAATTTTTTTGGATATTATGTTTCAATACCCTAAATGATAATTGCTTCTACAGTAAATGTTTTGCGGGGAAAATTAAACGGTTTGTATCCGCTAATTAGTACCAGATATTTTGCTTACAGTTTCGTTGCAAAGGTACTTAAAACGCCATATTTCTCGCGGTTAAGGCTTGGGTCCGACATAGTTCTAAACAATTCACTGTAACCAGCAAAGCGGGATAAACAGGGCACGCATTAAAACTTTCTCTAGAAAATGTATCCGTGGTATGGGGTCAACAGACTTGTAACTGCCAACTGATTTGAAGTTTGTATCCAGTGAGCTTGTATCAAATTGGAAAGCGTACGGAATTTTACAGAAAACCTTTATGTCGTTGGTAAGTTAGTGTTATTCATAGTTTGAGTTCGCGTCACGATGAATGACTAAAAGTTTGTTTAACTGTGCCTTTGCTAGTCGCTAAATGACGCTTACACTTTCCTTGTGAAATCAGCTTTTAGGTAATTTTCTAAGGTTTCTCTTTGCGGCAGGAACTTAAGTAGTCAAGGAGATTATCTAAAGTGTGGGTTGTATGAACAATAATTGTCGTGATTGAGGGCAATTTCACTTCGTGATTCCGTACTCTTGAAAATTTTTATAAACATAACTTCACGCATCTATGAGTAAAATATGCAGACTTTCTTAAGAAGTGACTATGATGCCTTTTTTGATATCTTAATCATTTTAAGGAGAAAATAAATATATTGAAATGTTCTGAGCTCGACAACGGAAAATTGCAAAGCGTTTTCTCTTTTAGGTAATTATTCAAATTTTGTGACAACGCAAGAGGTGAAAAACAGGCCAATATCCACTGCATACACTGTTTATTGAAGTTGCGGTTTTTCCGACAATAAGTTTCACTCTGTGAAACTATGAATTTACATCTTTCTGCCTTCCGTCTGTGTCCAACAAAGAAATCATTGTGAATTTAATTTTCAACGATCGACGGAAAGAAGGCAACAGCCTTGAACACAAGGTAGCTTTCGCTGCCTTGTTGCGGGTGGAAAAATAAATACAAGTTTCTGTTCGACTCTAGGAAATTATAATTAAGAAGATGTCATTGCAATTTTAATACGGTTTTCGGAAGTTAATCAATCTAAGGTAGAAGGCTGCTGTAGCAGCTGACTTTTTATAATTAAACGTCCTTACATGTCTTCATTGTTTTGTATAAAACTACTGCTAATTTCTATGCGGAATATCTATACCGTAAGAAAACTGACTAAATATTCTTTTTAATCGAAATTTTCCTTACATTTGCACAGAGGCGCCGTGACGGAGCAATTATCAATAGCTTTACCCATCTAGAAATTTTGATCAAATTTTCATTTAAATTTTTTTTCTTTTAGGACTTCTTTACCAAGAAAATTACTGATGGAAAACGCCACCGTTCATTGACAAGAAGTTTGTTTTTACCCGGAACGAACAATAGTGATAGGTAAGTAAGGAAGCTTGTAAATATCGCAGAGCAATATGCACATCATAAATCAAGAAAAATGGTTACTTGATGTTTCGTTCATTTTGCAATTGATTTCTCATGCAAATCATTAAAGTACATGAAATTGTATTTACTGGAAAACGATAAGGGTTTTGGTAATGAGTGATTTTAGCAGAAACGAGAAATTGTTAATAGTAATTTAGATCTACGACAGGTGCCCAGGAGTTGTGCAAATATAGAGAATGAATACGATTACATCCAACAGAATGAACTTATCTTTCTTTAAATCACTCGTGCAATATAACTTCAAGAGAGTTCTATGTTCTCAGAGACATGTTTCTGTAACAACTTAAGTTACAGACGAGTATGTTGATTTTTTTTTTTTAACTGTTTTTATTTTTTTGCCATTGGAAAACGCAAGAGAAACCTTTTTCGTCACGTTTCATTTTGAATGAATAAATAGATGTTTTCGTGGACGGTTAGGAACTCTGTTAGGTGATGAAGCCATACGCGGATCCAAAATAAATTGCCCTCAAGTTCAATCAGTATTTAACCTATGTTAGAAAAAGTTTTCCATTGGTCCTGCCTGTACTTTTGTTTCAGAGGATGAAAAAAAAAAGTCTCGAGCTCTTTATTTGGGGTGGAAGATTTGTAGCGGTCCATGTGAAGGACTCAAGGATTTCTAAAAATAAAGTGGTCTGTGAAACTGCATCATCATGGATGTATCAAATTTTTCCACTGAAATTTTTATTTCCTTAAATGAAACTTTCCTCCGAAACATTTATTTTTTTCCAAAATGGGAATCACAATAGTTTCGCAGCGTTTATAAACTTACAGTTTGCATGTTGCGAGTTTTTTTTTCTAGGAGAAAAAAACCGAATATATATATCAAGTATCAGACACAAAAATGCATTTCATAGAGAGTGACCAGCGTCTAATTTCCCCGCACAATATCAACCCTGAATCACACTGAGGGTCGCGAGAGTTAAGGTATTGATCACCAACTTAACAAGCTCGTGATTGTTATACAAATTCTCCTTGTCATCACCTTAGGAAATGTATAGAGAACAGTATGGAGAATATGTGTACTGATGTTAGTGTGTAAGATGTTAACACAGCGAGATTTGGAATGTACAATAGTGCAGTCTCGGGGCTTCAACACGGAAATTTATCTTCGAAGTCAATAAACCTGGAAATCTAGATTGCGCTGGAAAGAGTAGTAAGATTTGTTCCGAACATAAAATTTTTTGGCGGATAGGAGAGAACCCAGTCAGTAAAGGACACCACGGTAGCGCATGAGTAGAAACGGTTTTCAGCCAAAGACTCACCTACATACTCAGCAGGTTTCACTTATGTGCCTCACTATTTATTACGCCTTATTTTAGAGGTTACAGAATAGGAACTTTCGACGTTTTCTCCTTTTTAATTCACTCTATGGTTTAATTTTTAATTTACTTTTCACCGGCGTTTTTGAATGCTAACGTAAATTACACGTCCAAATATCCCGTCACGAAAACATTTGCAACAAAATCCCTTCGAGCAGAAGAGTTTTAATCAATGTTTTAATCAGGTAATTGACTCTAATAAGTCACAGACTGTAAGAGAATGAGCTTTCAATGTAATACGAGTAATTATCTTTATTAAAAAACTGTTTGCGTGGCGCCATTAATTGTTCCTTCACTCCCATTGGCAGTCGAGTAATTTAGGTAATTTTTCTGTACAATAATCCGAATACAACATTTATACAAAAGCCGTGAAAAATTCCGATCAAAACCGCTAATCCCATGTGTTTGTGTTCGCTTTGCATGCCATTCTTTTGAGTAAGTCATGTTTTGGAAATGTCTTTCACCTGAAAAGTTTCTCAATGACGTAGCCAAGATTTTAAGGGTGGTTTTTTTCTTTTATTTTTGGTGATGGTTGTTGTGTGGTAACAACAATAAGAAGCAAACTGTGGTTATTAATTTGGCGGCAGATGTCGTGAAATCGTTTACAAGTTGCTTTGAATATGCAGATGCCTCGTATTTACGTTTCGGAGGCGACTCCAAGCGTGAGGGCCATAACACGGTAAGCTTTTGGGTATAATCAACCAAAGTATTGCCCAACAAAGCCGCTCTTTCGGCTGATAGTTACGGCAGGCACAGCAAACATAATGCAACATAACCTGCCGATGCTGCAAACCATATTCCCTCCACGGAGTGGTTTTGCAACGACGTAAAGTTCATTATGATCTAAGCGCAATTTGAGTTTTTGAAACGGAATTGAATGTTGAGAGACATGACAGTGACACAATACATTGAAGAGAGATTTCGTGCAGTAGATCTTGTATTTGATTAGTTTTTGGCCTCTTTAATATCCGTTCTTGGCGAAGTTTACACATTCCGAGGGCTTTACTGCTGTCCCTTCATATCCGAAAACCTCTCTTTGATTAAGCCGGTGTTTGGACTGAAGGATTTGTGCCCCCGCTAGTTCCAGGACTTTTATAAGTTCAGATAGTGTGTCGAACGACACGATTTTGACATTATAAAATTTTCTAACTTTAAAAGTGAAAATCATAGTGCTGCTCTACGGGATGGCCTTGAAAATCTTTTGTTTAATTTGTTTACTCATCAAGATTTTTTGTCCGCGGATATGAACTCATGCATAGAATTAAGCCGCTCTTTCCGCCATTGTAAAAAAGCCCTCACCAAGAAATAACTTCAAGATTCATACTGATAACATTTTTCCAACATCATCCACCTTCGCGGCTGGAAGAAATAACGCAGTTTTACTTTCTAGCAGTAGTGCACAAATCAGGAAGGATGAGATCTAGAACTCAAGTACTGGACTATCCAACAGAATGGAGTCATTGTTCATTAATATATCTCAAAGTAAACTTAGAGACACTGCTATGCATAAATTATCCCTAACTCCTTGATGCTTTTTGTATTTTTAGATCTAGTTTTGATTGTTATGTTTTTCGCTTTCTTTTCCTAGAAGTCTTTAATGCCACCTGTTTACGAACATGCCGTAATTCCTCCCTCAATTAGCCGCTGCTATTAAACTAGATCTTAATTTCATTCAAGTCCTTATTAACGTAATTATACGTTAGATTCAGTCATAGATTCTCCAATCACAAGGTATTCGCGGTAGTTGTATAAATTAAGAGTGATGTGTGTTGACACGAAGCTCACTGTTTGGTTATTATGCCGTACGCGCGTTTTAACTCGTGAGTGTGATAAGGACATTTCTTGTTCCTACGTGTCACGTTTTGTGGTAGTTTCATAAAATCTTCGCCTTTTGTTTTTTTTCAGCGGGTTTTCGAGCCTGAGTCCTCCGACGATTCCGAGATGGCGATCGCAAGAAACATTGGATAGCAAAATGAAAACAACATCATCAGTAAGTGCATCATTGTTAGAAATAGTGCTTGTAAACTACAGAAACTAAAGGGAGCGTCTACCATAGGCCAGATATAGTCTGTAGAGTATGATTCTTTTATTTTTGCTGTTTGGCCGGGAGGCAGGTGCTTTCTAGTTAAATCGGTAAAAGCAATTACGAAGTTTCCACTCGCGTGAAGCCAAAAGAACGTTTCCACGCTTCAAACCTTAACTTGCCTTCTGGAGTCTCCGGATGAAGTCATGGTTGTAGTTTAGTATCGCTAAATGATGACTGAAAAGTTTGCAATTGGTAATATGGCAATGAAGACATTTTCAGACCTTCGTGGTGACAGTTTTGTTGGCAAATCTTAAAAAAAAAAATTGAAAATGTGTTAGCCGTCAAATCTCTGTCACATGTTGAACAATTTAGACAATTTTATCGAGAAATCATAGCTCTAAAACCTGTCCAAGTTTAACTTGTGGACCTTGCGTGTTGTACCCTCGTAAAAACAATTCAAATTTATCAAGTTTTATTTCTTTCTCCATTTCATTTTAAGTCAACGGATTAAGGGTCATGTTTGAATTACTAGTTTGGGTTACAGTTGCCGCCAGTTTGAATTGTACACACATGTCAAACACAAACAATGAAACAGTATATGCGACAAACAAGGACGCTGCTCTGTTCACCAATAATGCAAGAAATGTAAACTTTGAGATAGTACAGTTGCCACACAGTGAAAGCGCTCTTCTCATTGAAACAGAAAATCGTAATTTTCAACATTTTTGTAACTTTGCTTCAATTAAGAAACGGATGCTAGGAACATGGGAGTGTCGGCAACGTTTTCGTTTTTTTCTCTTTTTCAACTAAATTTCCAAGATCTGCCTGTTATGCCAATATTTGCGTTAGAGCCATTAATTGTTTGAGCAACGAACCCAGCCCTGAAAGAAGTCTTTGTTTTATAAAGTAATTGCATTAAATTGTTAGCACCACAAGGAATTATGTGGGTTGTAGCAATTCACAATGAAGAAAGAGACGAAAAACTACTTTCAACAGTATGTCAAGCATATGTCACCACTGATTTTATGCAGAAGTTCGAGGGACATCTCCATATCTCACCCAAGTTCAAAATTTGTTTTTCGTGCCATTAATTGGTTATTAGAGAAACAAAGTCACGGCATAACCGTTTTTTGTTCTAGTGTTGTTTGATTTAGTCGAACATTCGCTCGTCTTTCATCTTCTTTTAAATTCAATCTAATAAAAAGCAGGTTTGATTGCGTCAGTATGGTAGATGTTATTATTATTGTTATCGTGATCATCATCATCATCATCATTATTATTGTCATTATTATTATCGTTAGTCAGAAAATCTAACGAAAATTGCAATCGCAGCTTTCTGGGGGAAATTAGTTCATCGTGCTGTAATGGCCATGCTGAAAATCAGTACGAGGCTGAATGAATGGAGTAAATTTTTCGATGACAACGGGCGAGTGCAATTTGTACCCTTTGAAAAATTTATACCAAATTTCACGAGAAATCGTGTTGTTACTTGTTAAGAATCTACATGAAAAACGCTTCACAGGAAGTCAAGACGGACAAAATTTTAGCCGCGCGCGAGCGCTATTTGTAATTTCCTCTCGTGTTACTTGAAAAATGCACTCGTTTTCAGCCAATCAGAAGTGCGTAATTTTTTCATGCATATTATAATTTGATAGTTACCTTTTTGTAGCTGTCATCACGAAATACGTGTATGTCGAGTCCAGCAGGTACTAAAAAGTTGATCACTTGCTATATTGAACATTTTCGCTGAAGTAGTCGTTTCACTGCATGAATGAAAAATATACTAAGTCTAGTTTATGGAAAAAAATTTTATCAGCTTCTTGTCCCAATAATATTTTTTTAATCTCCCCCAAACGCAGGAAAGCGTGGACCTGTCAATCAGTGGTCACGTGACAGTCCGTCCCATCCATCCAAGCATTCTCTCAAGGCAGCACTGCTTTCAAGTAACCACGCCTCATGAAACCAAGTACTTCTCGTGTCGAAGCTCACAGGAACTCGAAAAATGGGTTGTGAGGTAAACATGTCACATTCTCTGGATGCAAATGCAGTACAATTCATTTTCTCCTTAAATAGGAAAACTTCGAAGACCTGAAATCCCCTTAGGCGTGGAATTCTTCCTGTATTTTCTTCACAGCCCCACTTTTCTTGTCAACATTTCCGTCCTGGGCGGTTTCTGGCACTCCTCGCCGACTACAATCAGTTTCCTTTTTTTCTTACTGCGGTGCAGTTTCATAATTTAGTTAATCATTTTGATGACAAATTCAGGTGGCGACAGACATGCTTTCACGTCTAAAATAAAACGTGAATTGTCGTTGTTTCGCCGGCGTTATCACCCAAGCAGGATGTTTCAAAAATACGACGGAAGGTTAATAAATCACAAGCCTGGAAGACGAGTGATCTGCCATCTTATTACAACAGTTCACTGATAAAATGAACTGTCCACTGTTTTTAAATCAAATAACTCTAAAACGTGTCGGCTTCCTAAGGATTAATCAGTTAGTTTTTGACCAATCAGAGCTCGCCTAGTCCCTCAGCCGAGTAATAGATCTGAATAAATAATGTGATCAGTTTGATGATTACTTTCTCCCGTTGACCGACTTTTCATAAGAAGGCTGAACAGTAAATCAAAATTAATATCCGTAGATATGAAGATAAATTAGTTAGAATCATCCCATCTCCACTTAAGTTAGGTTAGCTTACACAATTTTTGCTTACTTGGTCTCTACAAGTCCTCTCACTTTTGTGCTCTTTAAAAGAAACAAGTTTCAGCAGATAGAGGCGCATCGATATCTTTTGGCAAAAAAGGCCGCGTGATTGTATCTCGTGCGTCAAGGATTTTGACGTGTTGTGTTTCCAATGAGTTCGAAAGAACGAAAATCTCCTTTCACTTTTTATGCTTGACTGCACACCGTAAACAGGCCGCAATAACTTAACCAGATTTGACTTGATTCACTGGGCAAGAAAGTGCAAAGGGTCTCACTTCTGAATAGCATAATCAAGCGGAGAAAATCCAACGTAGAATGAATCCAACTGAAATGAAGCCTAACTTTCTCTCTAATTTCCTTGTTTCATTTAAGGATTGTATTTTTAGAAAAACTTGGGATAGCTGCCTCGTACAATATTCCCACTTCCGTTGAAACCTTTTGATTTCATTGCATTCTGTCACCTTTTGATTTCTTTTTAGCTCTGACTCAGGGATCGGTCTATAATTCGTTTACTTCGATTTTTCTAGAACCATGAAGTGATTTTTCGAAAACAGCTCGAGTTGCCTAGCCTTACGTCATATCTCGCAAAGCTGAAACGACTCTTTCTCTTTCCTTCTCAAATTTGAAGTCTTAGGTAGAGTTTACTCAACCTTTCTTTGCACAATGTCAAAAGCATTAACGAGCTACCGACAAAACCAATCAGATTTTACATTGTATTCCGCAATACAAACTGATTAATCAGAAACGAAGACACACAAAGGGAGACAGTTACAGGGTGACATAAAGACCGACGTTTCACCTGGAATATTTTGTATTAAGAGAATTGACGTAAGCCTCGCGACAGACGTGTCATTCTAGCGGAAGTTTAACAAACTTTTGCTTTCGCGCAGTTAGCTCAGTGTTTGAATGATTGATTGATTGATAGGTTGACAGCGTTAATCTCAGATCTTAAATAATCGTGCCCAAAAGAAAAAAAAAGAACATCTCGCAGTTGTCGCTTAGTGAATCACGAAGCGACGTTATAGTCGTGTATGGCTTCCCTTAATTGAGCTTTTCAAAGTTACCTAAAATGGTGCAGCAACAGCAAGAGTCTGAAAGGTCAAAAAATAATTTCACGATTTTATTTTTGCTCGATTTGGTTTACTTTCGTTGTTGTCAAACGTTAAACTCTATTGTCTGAGCATGTTAAGGATGGATTGTTTGAACACCTAAGAAGCGATATGAATTTGATCGCTCCTGAAATTCAGCAGCACTGGTAATTTCTAAACTGTATCTTCCATAAAAAAAGAGTTTCACTCATGCCGGCTTATATCAAATCGTTGATATAAGCCGGCATGAGTGAAAAATTTTAGTGACGCCTCGTGTTTCTTTCCAACCTTTATTACAACACAAAGAGGTGAGGAAATTGTAACATACTTTTCATTTTCTTCTATCACAGCATCAAAAAATCGATCCAGCCAACAAGAGATGTACAATACAGGACGGATATCGGTCTAACAGTGTGGATTGTGGAGGCCAAGGGTCTGACTGACAAACCTAAACGACGGTGAGGCAAACGGTGATATTTGGTATATAATCTCCGTTAAAATTATGAAAAATCCGAATGTCGTGTGTGATGGCGTGACGTACAATCTCGCTTTTCAACGGTCGTACGACATGAAAGGATTGTAGCCTTTACCTTTAGTGATAATTCGAAAACGAAATTCGATTTATCACTGACAGGTGATTGTGCCAGAACTTTTGTCGCAAAGGGTGAAGTTTTCCAAAGCTGATTTAGTCCACTATTCATGATCGAGGCTTTCCGGTTCAAGCGGATAATTTGTCCGTCGAGGAAAATGAAAGACTTCACCAATATGAAAGAACGACACTTTTTTCCATCTTGAGAATTCAGCTTTAGTGTTTCCAGTCCGTCATTTTCAATCCGTCGTAATCTTTTCCTTCCCTAACCTCATTCATTCCTCTTAGGTCCGTTAGTACTCTCCCAGTGTTTGGCTAACCCATGAAACAATTATTTCACGACTTTTCCCTCATTTAATCCAATAACCCTGCAGAGGTACTGGGGATCTCATTTCTTCTAACGGTATCACTGCTGAACCGAACATTGGGGTCACTGATGAGAATACGGAAAATGATCGCAAACTAAAGAAGCTCGTGATAGTCAAACAAGTTCTCCTTGTAAGAACTATGTGAAATATCTAAGGAGAATTATGGAGAATATTCGAACTAATGTGATAGTGTTAAGGGTTTAAAGGTAATTTTCTGTGTAGTGGAAATGACTCAACGTATGATGACAAGCGAAAAAATAACGTTGTTAACAACCTATCGCAACAATAGCCCGACAACATGACGTTACAATGATGCAAAAAAGATTAAAAGTTGTTGGAAAAACAGTGTATGTGTACAAATCATTCTCGACTGATTATTTTTGTTATAAAGAGCCGTAAGTAATCAGTGAAACAATTCCCTTTCTTCTCGCAGGTTTTATTGTGAGCTGTTTTTCGACAAGGTTCTCTATGCCAAAACGTCCTCCAAGACGAAGTCCGATATTCTATTCTGGGGAGAGAATTTTGCTTTCAAGTGAGTTTGAGAAGAATTGAAGAAACTGTTTGCTTGAATTTAGTGTTGTAATTGTTTTTGAAGAGAAGATTCATGTCGTCAGAAAGTATGTCAACCAACACTTCAATATTTGCTGCATGTTCTTTTTACATTTTACGTTTAAAAGTTTTCTAGCGGGTATTGAAAATGATCGTGGATTGCTATGGTTTTGCTTCACTTCGCTCTGTAATTGGTCCAAAAGATTCGCGCTACTATTTCAGCCAATCAAATGCAAAACTTAAACCAATCCCAACTTGGTCACTCGCGTTTTCCCGCGCTTCAAGTCAGTTACCGGATTCTCATTGGCTAAGGGCGATGTTAACCTTTGTTTTGATTGGTAGTTGTGATAACTACGGTTTTGGTTGTTTGACGCTCAGTTGAAAACTGTCCAAAAGTTTTGCTCAGTTTGATTGATTTTTTTTCTAGTTTATTTGTTTATTTATTTCACTTGTGATCCGTAAAAGTCCATATGTTTTCAGTGATTTACCAGAAGTGAAGACTGTTACAGTCCAAATCTACAAAGAAACCGATGGCAAAAACAAGAAGGACAAAAGAAAGCCTGTTGGTGAGAAGTTGATATGTTTCCTTATTTTAGCTCAGTGACCAGATTGCCAAGTGGAGATGTGCCATTTAGGATTCGCCCTCTAAGACATCTCAGAGTAGATATGCAACTTTAAACGCACTCTGTGGTCCCTCCAAGTTTAGATGTATCCGTGGAGACGATTTTAAGTGTAGATCTGATATTGTCTAGACATGGTTGCTATGCTACTTGTTTACTTGGTGACCTTTTTACTCTTTCTGTCCCAGGCTCCGTGGACGTACCCGTCGACTCGTTGGAAATTGGTGTCGAGGTAGAGAAGTGGTATCCCGTTACCATGGAAAGCAACAAGACCAATGGAGGAGAATCTTCCAGTGTCAGACTTCGATTTAAATACCAGGTTTACTTTTTTACTTTATGATGAACTCTCTTTTGGAATTACCTTTTTGTTTTAGTGAGCTTAGCCTCAGTGGTTTCTTTTAAGTTGACCTGCAACTGAGTTACTCACTCCTCTCGTTTGTCCCTTTGCAGAAGGTCTCCATCCTTCCAGTCAAGAGTTATAGTGAACTGCTAGAGGTACTGCTTCATTTTTTTTCTCTTCAATCATGAACTATGTTCTTGCACGTGATTGGTTAAGAGTGTCGCAAGTACCTCAACTAATTACCGTAACCTTATATAACAAAACCAATACAGTCCTGGATTATTTCCGACACAGAGTTAAAACTTGCTCTATGGTACATTTTATTGACAGGCAAAAATGTATCAAAAGCAAAAGCGATGTTCATTGAAACAGCCTTAAATCATTACTATTTTTTCCTTTTAGCACTTGCTTTCATTTAATTATCTTGAATTTGTTGTCTGTATTTTTCCAGTATTTGAATCGCAACTACATGACAATCTGTAAAGCTTTAGAGCCAGTGGTCAGCGTCAAGCAAAAGGTTTGTCGTCAGACTGAGTTATCAGAAGTGTTTTCACTCGCACCTCCTCTTCATTCATTTGTTCATTCATTTATTCATTCGTTTATCTGCTAAAATTGTTCCTTAACTTATTCGTTGCATTTGATTACAGGACGAGATTTCCAGAGTACTTTTGAAAATACTACAAGCCTGTGGAAAAGCGACGGAGTTTCTCTCAACTATTGTTATGGACGAAGTCAACAATCTGGGTAAGTTTAAATTCGTCTTTCTGTAGAAATGGGAAGTTTACTTCTGCTAATTATGATTTTTTTCCTAATTATAGAGGACGAAAACCTCGTATTTCGTGGTAATTCCTTTGCAACCAAAGCAATGGACTCATACATGAAAATGATTGGCGAATCAGTAAGTCAACTGCCTGTTCACTTTAACGTTATCTTTCTTAAAGTTTTACAAAAAGTATTCACTCTATGAAGATTCGGTTATTGGCTCTTCAGTACTACAAAAAGGCAAATTTGTCAAGTTGCAACCCCAATTACCTTGCTACTCCCACCGACGCAGCACCACAGTTTCTTTAGAAACTTACCCCCTTTTTGTAGCCTTTGTTACCTTGCATAATCGGATGTGGTATTGTGTGACAGAGAACCGTGACCAAGTTCAGGACCTGAAAATCGCTAACTCTTTTATTCCTAAGATCTGAAAGAGAACTCTTCGAACTAACGACCGTTCATTCCTTCGTCAGCCAGTCGTGGGACTTGGGTATTATATCCAAAGAATACCCCTGGTTTATGATTATTTATTCCTCGTGTATCTATTTGACAGTAGGGAGTTTAAGAAACGAAGACGGCGACGCCGTGGACAACGTCGGTTAAAACATCAACTTATATTTTCCCTACGAATCTCTCGATACTAAAATCATTTACTTTGTTTCTTATTGTCAAAACTATCTCGAAACTCATTATAGAAAACAGCGTTGAATAAGAAATAGAGATGAAAAAAAAAAAAAGAAGTAATTGTCGTCAAACACGTTCTCCAGACAACGCAAAGTTTGGTCATTTCACGTCGTTGTTTTGCAGGGGACGCAAATAAATCTACAAAGATTTACAGCGCACGTGCACAGCCATTGTTCAGCCCACCAAACCTTTTGTATAGTGACGTTCCCATTGCCGTTGCCTTCGTGGTTTTCCTAAACCTCCTAGTCTATCAAAATTGGGAAGAGTGTTAAGTAATGATCACCCCAACGAGTGAAAGAGTCAAATTAGAAGTTCCTCCTCGTATTTCCTCCGAGGTCTAAACTAATAGTTTAATGTTCTTTTAGTATCTGCAAGACACCCTTGGTGACTTTGTTCAGTCCGTGTATGAGTTTGAAGAGGACTGTGAGGTAAGAAAAAATGCTTTCAGAAAACGTTTTTATAGAATCGCCTTTTTACTCGTTATGTTTCGCGTAAGTGTAGAATTTGACGATTTGTCTGTCTTTTTCCTTGGTGCTACTGTAATAGTTACTGCAACCCATAATTAGTTATCTTTCTTATATCATAGATGTTTATCTTTTATCTTTTTCTTCAGGTCGACCCATCAAAGAAATCATCCGGGAACCTCGAATCCAATAAAGAGAATCTAAAGAATTTCGTAGAGAAAGCATGGAACCTGATCATGTGTTCTGCTTGTCTCTTTCCTAGGTAAGAGTGTTATAATTTTCTCTTTCAACCAGGAAAATGAGGTATCCGAAGAGGAAGTCTAAAGAAAACAAACAGTTGATTTTTGTTATTCTGCTCCTTGGTTGTACAGTTTATCTCTTTTTCTTGTTTAACGTCTCTAATTGTCTGTGTGGTTGTTCTTGTTAGCGATCTTCAAATAACCTTCCACGAATTCCGTCGTTGGTGCGAAGGTAGAAGTGAAGATCTGAGTACAAAATTAATCAGGTGAGTTGAAAACTTTTCAAATCAAAATACAAAGAAGCTATCGAAGTGCTGATTTATTATTTTTTTCTTGCCTTTTTCGCTAGTGGATCAATCTTCCTGCGATTCTTGTGCCCAGCTATTTTATCACCCAGCTTATTCCATTTAGTACAAGGTAAGTATCATTTAGAACTTTATATGAGCACGATCCTTCGCAGTAAAGCACTATTTGAGCAATAGTGAAAATCAGACCTGAAAAAAATTTCAGGCCTGTACGGGATTCGAACCACTGACCTCTGCGATACTAGTGCAGCGCTCTACCAATTGAGCTAACAAGCCAACTGGGAGCAGGCCATCAAATTAATTCGACATAAACCCGTAGATGATAAATCAAACAACAACAAACATATGAAACATATGTGTGAACTGCGCTTCARTAGTATCGCAGAGGTCAGTGGTTCGAATCGCGTACAGGCCTGAAATTTTTTTCAGGTCTGATTTTCACTATTGCTCAAATAGTGCTTTACTGCGAAGGATCGTGCTCATATACGTCTTATAACCGCAGTTCAGACATGTGTTTCATATGTTTGTTGTTATTTAGAACTTTGTCATTATGAAGCACTGATACCATTTCGTTCGGAATTTACCAACCAAACACTTCCTCCATTTGATATCCCTTGTTCGTTCTTTTGTTCATTGCTTTGTTTGCTTTAAGTTAGAAACCTCCCTTGTCCCTTTAATCATATTTTGACACAATCAGGTGATACCCTCTTTTATTTGTCTGTGTGCTCAGCTCTTGGTCAGCAGCAGCACACAAGTCTACAGTGAACGATTGACGTTACCAAGATTAATCTTTGACTCATTTTTTTTTTTAAATTCCTTTACCAGAATATCCTAACGAGAGAACCTCAAGAGCTTTAACACTGATAGCCAAAGTAGTCCAAAATTTGGCTAACTTTACCAGGTAAGACATAGTAACAATTAGTTAAGAATGTAAACCAAAAATAATCTCCGTATGTCTACGTCAACTGTGGCTAGAGCGATACGTGAGTGTACTTCTGATGAGATAACCTGTAAACTTTTTAAAAGTCGCTTTCTACTTTTTTGCAGATTTGGTGGAAAGGAAGAATACATGGGCTTCATGAACGGATTTGTGGAGAAGGAATTCGTAAACATGAGAAAGTTCCTTAGTGAAATATCTGTAAGTTAAGATTCATCGCGTTTCGCTTAACGTTCTTTTGACAAACGGTGCCACTCCCAATGCTGCAATAACGTTTCTCAAAATTGGGTGGGCTAGAAAAGTTATACTTTTTGCTCGGGAATAAACTTTAAGCATCGTTTCTCAGCAAACTTTGGATACCTTACTTTCTGCAATATGTAAAACACTTTTGCAAAATCGGCACGATGTCGTAATGTCTTGGAAACTTGCACAAAATTGTCGCATACGCAAATCGCGTAAAACGAACTATCCGGTCTTTGTCAAGCGTCCAGTTTCTAAAAAGCAAGCATTTAAGTTAGCTCTGAGCATTTCCCAACCATCTAATGAGGGTTCGAGTTTGATACACGGACTTAATATGAACGAATCATACATGCACAAGACTAGTTACTCTTGATGTTTTGAACTCCGAAAGCGTGTATGTATGCTAAATTTTTTAACATTGTCCCCTTCTTTTGTTAATAGTCAAGAACAGACACCACAGAGAATAATTATGAAGGAATCATCGACATCGGACGAGAACTGGCTCTTATGTTCAACATGTTGAAAGATCAAACCAGCAAGATGAACCAGGTATATTTCTGAATGTTTAAGATCCTCCCCACGAAACCAAAACAGTCATCTTGTTCTCAGCATGTACAGTCTCCTATAATGTGTTACTAAAAATAGTGTGCTACATACCGGGTATATATTTTTTCTAATTAACGAAAACAATCTCTATTTCTTTTATCTAGGATGCCTTGGAGACGCTTCGCCCGTTACAGTTTATCCTCAAATCTCTGCAGGAGACTTATCATGATTCCGAAAGGAAATTCGCTCTTGGCAATGAAAGCCTGGTAGCTCACAGGAAGTGGGCCTCATCCTCGGACCTTGTGAGTGACCAAGACAAAAACAACATCACTCTTACTCCCGTGTCACAAATAAGGATCATGAAATCACCGAACAAAAGGACTCAGAGTCCCCCAATCACATCATCTTCGGAATCTAACCTTGTTGACACTGGGAGCACGACGGCGGCGATCCCCGAACACTTAACGATTTCTCGTTACGACGAGTCTATTTTGTCGCCCATTTCCGATATCGATCCTCCGAACTTATCCCCGCGACTACGAGCGACCTACGACGATAATTTACAAAGCAGTCTTCGCCGAAGATCGTATCGGAGAGCGATCGCATCCGATGAGGTAAGCACAGCCATTCCTGGTGCAATTGAGCGAGAACGAAGCTCGTCCGAAAGACGTTCGCTGACTAGAAATTTGGATTCACATCGGCGATCGCAATCAGAAAGCCCCCATGTCATTTCAAGTATGGATGGTGGGAGTCCTAATGAAGCACGAGTTATTTACCAAGGAGAACTATCAAACTCGAGATCGAGTCTTAAATCAAAAGAGGGCGCAAACCACAGACATTATAGAGCTGTTCATGATTCGCGCCAAAGGAACGGCAAAGAAGGAAGCTTAAAACGAAGATCGCTGCCTCCTGGTAACTCGCCGGTAATAACGGATCGATCTCGAACTTCGTCACCCGAGCATCCGGCCCCCCCGAGACCGACTGCGCCAAAGCCAAAGTCTGTGGAGTCCCCTCGCTCCTCCCCTCATCCAAACAACAATGACTCCTCAAGGTTCCTCAATCCCACCGTGGGTCGTGTGGCTCGCAGTCCTTCAGGGACAAGTAGCAGTTCCAGTGGAAGCGAGGAGAGTTGGCATAGTGTTGGGAGTAGCGTGGAAGGAGTGGGAGGGGGAGGTGGACTAAGCAGGCGGAGAGCAAGAAAGATGCCACGGACTCCCAGTCCAGAAGACACGAGTAGGGGATCTAGGTAAGAAACAAGTCTTCAAGCTTTTTTTTTTTTTGCATCTTTATCTTAAATGGGTATTTACTTCTCTTGGTGGGAATTCAAACATTTCATTTTTGTTTCTTTCCTTCTTATTTTATATCTATTGATTCTTTATTATCAACCGTTTTTAAATGGTTGATGAAAAAAAATAATACACTCTGGCCTCAGTGCGACTTAAAAGAACATGCTAAGACTTACTACCTCAGTTTTGGCATGCTGGTATTTTTTTACATGGAAATCTGGTTCCAGCTGGTTTTTGGCTCAATACTGCATGTCAGTTCAATTCCTTACCTTTCTGGTGGCGGTCCTTCCATGAAGATCTCAAGGGAATTCTGTTAGCCGTAAAACGGGCAAGAAATATAGGGGTTACGGATAAAAATTACCTGTTTATCGTAAAACAAAAATAAGCGGAAAAAAACTCTGGTGACACACAATGGAAAAATATTAACGGTTAACCGTGAATTAACCAAAATTTTAACTGTTGTCCGTAAAAGCCTTCACCTCACGGAGACTCTCTTTCATACAATTGTCATGGTTTTTCTAAAGTTTTGGTACTGGTTTGATTCTCTCATCGTGTACTCTGCCCATCTGCTCATATCTCACAAGATATAATGACGTTGTTGTGTAGCTAAAAAAAAAATTAAAGTTTAGAGCCGGAAATCACATGCAGACATTCGCGTTTTAATTTTTTAACCCTTTGTTTATAAGAGTATGTATTTTGACTAAGGAATGTCTTAAGAACCTTGTTGAAGTTCCGAACCTGGCGTTTGTTTCTTTGCCACACCCTTCCTTATCTCTAAACCCCTCCCCCCCTTCCCTTCCGTTGAAGTTTCGTTTCACCATCTCTTTAGCATTATCACAAATTAAACGAATTCTGGAAGGTCAGAGTTAATGATGGGATAAGGGTTCTTTCTCAGTTGCCATGGCAGAATCACTCCAACATGGACTCCTGCTCCTGCGCAGTTAAACAGATTGGCTCTCCCAGTTGATATCAGCTGCTGAGAGCATCAGTGAATAGGTCTCTTATTCAGCACTAGCCATTCTTACCACTTGATCCGGTTACTCAAGTTTCTATGGCATGCAATTTATTTTTAGTTCAGGATTTCGTCATAATTTAAATATGCTCAGTAATGCTTAGTCAGATTGACATTTCGAAAACATCAGTTCTTTTATAAGTTTGTCCAGAAATGTCTGGCCTAGGTAGCAAAATCAGGCACTCCTTGATAAAGGTCGAGCTAGAAGAGAGATATCACAAAGTACTGTCCCCTCAGAGGATTTAGGAAAAATCTTGAAAAATCAGCAGACTTGAAAATTTTTTCATATTGGAACACATGTTTACAGAAAAAATTCTTGAAAAATGTTGTCTTTCTGGCTCAAAATACGATCATGATTGATTGGGTATTAGTTTGTTAAAGACTAGATAGGAACATAAAGAAGTCTTTCCTTTACATAGAAACTTATTCTCATGGAATTCTTTATTATCATTTTGTTTAAATTTTAATAGATGACTAGAAAAATGGTCTCAATGGGGTGATGGCTTTTTGGCTAACGGTTAAAATTTGGTTATTTTACGGCTAATCTGACACTTAAAAAAATGACACATCTTGGATAAAAAAATTTTTACGCTTAACTTTTTTTTTACGACTAACGGTTCAAGGTTGTCAATTTTTATACCTAACAACTTATTTTTCCGTTTTACTACTAACGGTGAACCCCATTGAGACCCTTTAGAAACAACCGCCTCATTTCAGTATTGAATGTAATGAGACTTACGTAATAGCTTTGCCTCTATTGCTTCTAAGGACCATCTAAAGTCAGAGAGACTCTATTGTTGCCTCACCCTTAAGAATATTACTCAGGTTTTATTCCACAACGATCAAAGAAAAAAGAACAAGGAGGTGGACTAGAAAGGGATAACCACTTCTACCTCCTTTCACGATTTTTCATGTATTTTTTGTTGTTAATGTATTGTTTGTTAGTTTTTGTTTGCTTTCTGTGTGTGATTAATTGTGAATAAACTACTATTATTATTATTATTATTATTATTACTATTATAACAGCACAAAATCACTGAGCAATACCCTTGAGGCTTGAGCGCATTGAACACTCGAATGTAAATATCACATCCGTTGCTGTTACAAGGAACAAAAGCAAACAAAAGAAGACTTATTCCAGAGCGTTCCAACAATAGTCCAGTCTCACACTTATGTATTTAACGGAGCTGGCTGGAGTTTGCTTCTGATTTTTAACAAGCAAACGGAGCTTTACTCGTGCTCTTAGTGATTCACACTGTAGGTAACGTTAAGCGTCCGTTAGCTCGGAAAAAGCCTCATTTTGTATTCATTTTGTTTGACTCAATAGCAGCAGTCCCTGGGAGAGAATGCCGCCCCGAGCTGAGGACACATTTGAAAATGGATATGACGTTCCGCCACCAAAAACCATAGCAGAGGTGAGTTCGTCCCCTGTTTCTCAACTGTTTCTCAAGTTTCCGCCCAACGAAGCAGTTTGATACTATGGTAAAAAACTTGACGAATTTCTGTGCTCCAAACACTTCACAGCTAGCCCATGTTGTGACGTTTAGTTTCAGGGTATTACATTGTATGTTAGGTTATCCGGTACGAATATGACAACCATGCTAACATTGAATAAGCTTTCATTTGAAATGACTTCGCTCCTTTTGTGACTGCAAATCACGACGCGAATTCGTGCTCCGCAAGGAAATGTGAAGTTTTTCCGATGCAAAACAAAATATTTTTTAGAAAAATTCACCAATTTGTCTTACATGTATTGTTCAATAATGACAGATTGATAGGCTTGGGAAAGCATCTATGTTAGCGTTTTAGAAGTAAAACGATTTGGCCTAGGTCTGATGTTTTAGGAGGTCATGGACTTTTGTGGCGTAAAGAAATTAAAATATCAAGCCACGTGGGGCCAAGTTAAAAAAAGATTGACTCAGACAGGAGGGTTGCGATGGGCAAATATTGCGTTGTATTTGGAGATTAGTGGTATATGGTATATTAAGGTGACATTTTCAAAACCTGCCAGAAGAAGCCCTCAGATGTCTTTAGATGCCTTCCAGTGAAGATTCCTCGTTAGCTAAACTTCTCCTTGAGATAAAGCTGTTAGCAATGTACCAAACCTAGATTTTTGTACACTAAATTGTATTTTGATTTTTCTACGTAAATAGAGTGTCAGTGAAATTGGTGCTCAATGTCTGTCTTCATTGCTATGCAGTACAACTTGAATGAGTTTCACAAATTGAGGAGCATTTTATTTCCTGCCTGGATTGAACAGGATCATTTCGGAAAGCATTTTGAGTGCAAAAAGTGTAACCATGTCACCGAGAAATACTTTGACAATACGTTGCACTTGACATGTCCTCTAACCCTAACGGATATGGTCAAATGAAATTTAGATCACAATACAAGGTTTTCGTTTCTAAATATAGCATGCTCGAAATCCTGAACTAGAAATGAAAAACTAATCATCGTGGATTTTCTTTGAAATTCCATCTAACATTTCTATGTTAGCAAAATTGAGAGCAAATTTTCTTTGTACTGGTAATACAAAAGAAGTGTTAAGGACGAATTTAACGAGTAGACGAACTAGTTTACCAGAAATTACTAAATGGAAAATTTCAATCAATGCTTTCTTTGCAACCTCTTATTACAGTATGAGAAAGAACTGCAAGATCTTCGAGAAGAGCTGTTGCAAACGAAGAGAACGCTGGCGTCGACCCACGAACAGCTCATCTTACAAGAATCCAGCACACACAAGCTGGTAGCATCCTTCAAGGAGAGACTGGCGGAGAGCGAAAGCAGTCTACAACAACTGAGACACGAAAAAGACAAAGAAATGAAAGAGTTACTCGACCGCTTGGTGAGCGTCGAGACGGAACTACGCCAAGAACATAAAGAAATGCAAGAAGTGATTCAGGCCAAACAGGTCATAATTGAAGCTCAAGAAAGAAGAATCAAATCAATTGACTCGAACAATGCCAAGTTGATCGCCACTTTGAACCAGGTTGGAGGTTCACGAGCGAACAACAAAGTGCTGAATTATCCAAGCAGTGACCTCTAGTAAGTGGAGGCCTGATGACGGGTGGCAAGAATTCAAGGCCCCAGGGACCCACAATATAAATGTCCAACGGATACATGGAGTCATCGTTTTGTGCAAAGATGTGGCTTTTAGGAGATGACAGTCTCAATGGGCATGAAATATGAATGCCAATGAAATACGTAACGAAATGCTTGACAAACTTTCGATCATTTACCTCGTGTCCAGGCTCTCTGGGCCCATTTTGCCCTTTGAGAAAGCGTTAGTAACCCTGCGTAATTAAATGCAGACGTCCAAAATCAGATCAGTTGTCTGATCTTATTTCAAGTTGCAAACACCTTCAAAGAAGTATACTGAGAGTTTTCAAACAATTTTTTAGTGGAAATTGAACAAAAAATTTAGTGTTTATATGGGAATACGAACTACATTTAAGTTTGTGTACAATTCCTTTTTACTATATTTCTATTTATTAAACTAGATATACCCTTTAATCACATTTGTTTGTACTAATGAACGTAGTCGTGTACAATTGTCTCAATAATTTAGCCGTTCAAGCTCTTACAGAAAGCAAACATTTAGATCAGAAGTGCTACATATTATTCAAGTTCAACTTGACAAGGAATACAAATCAGAAAACTTAAGATCCGTAAAATAAATGCAAAAATCCAAGAGAAAATGAATTTGAAAAGAAGGGAGAGTTTTGTCTTTATCTCTCTGTGTAGAAATTGTGAAGTAATATTAGTTTAAAGTAACAAATAAATGGTTTATGGATAAATTTAATAAAGATATTGCTTACAGAGAGTTTTTTTTTTTTCTGGAACAATTTTGTTGAGGATGACGGGACTTCACTTCGCTGTTGCTATTTGATTGTGTGCTGTCCAGACAGACTATTGAAGAGTGTGATAGCAACTGGCATTGTTTGCATAAATAGAGTCTAGTGACATTGTTGCCCCCTCTCTCTCAAAAAGTTTTTCTGACTCTGCACAATCATAGAAGACACGTCAGTAAAAACAGATGAAGAAGACTGTCAATTACACTAATTTGCTGATCCTTGTACTTCAGCAAGCTTACCAACAAGGGCAATACCCAAAGCAAACGAAGAAGCACAATGCCGGACAGAAACCAAACGGGGAGTTACTATCCAATCTCACATTCCACCGCCCTAAGGCCTCCATGCCCCATAACTCTGTAGTGGTTGTAAGATTATGAAACAAACAAATTAAGAAGTAATGGACCTCCTGATCTGGGGAAATCAATATTTAAAGTAAAACAGAGTGGCAGTCAAGGAATGAAAGATAAGTGTCGTTTGGGCGCGCCAACATGCTTCTGCTGAAAATAATTGCTTATGAAGTCCTTCCCAATATAGTTATTCAATTGAGGTACAAGAGTTGGCTATTGATAGCCTAGACTGGAGTCAGGATTGTTTGCTGCAATTACATGTCATTCCAATGTGAATTAAGAATGGTCCAACGAGTAGCTTTTTCGCAAATTCATTTTCAGAGAGCAGATATCAATGTGTACATTCAGTTGCGCTTTCTGTGTTTACGATTCTTTTGCACATCTGTGCCGGTCTTTTGGCTGCGGAGGATGGCACATGCCCTTCTGACAGTTGCATCCCCCAGATCCTGTCGATAATAGTTCTTGCACACAGGTTCTTGATTGTCTTGATGGTGCGACGGGAGTCACGAGCCAAAGTCACCTTGGGGGTAACCTTAGAGGGCTTGTAAGCATCTGCAAGAAAACAGTTCCAATAAACCTAACTCCTGTAAGTAGCATTAGTTACTTCCCAGTAAACTGACAGCGAACACTAAGTGAAAATGTAAAAATAATGTCTGTGGCGAGGGTGATCATATATAATTTGAATATATCAACAAAGTTGAAATGGTAAATTGGCCACTGTTATGATTGTAATAGCTGACGTTTCGAACGTTAGCCCTTCGTCGGAACGAATGATTCGCTCCGACGAAGGGCTTCGCTCCCTTCGTCGGAACCCTTTCGCACCGACGAAGGGCTAACGCTCGAAACGTCAGCTTTTATAATCGTAACGGTGGCCAATTTACCATTTCAACTTTTTTGATATATTCAAATTATTTCGTTACCCCCACCGACGCAGTCCCAAACAGTTTCTTTAGAAACTATCAGCCTTTATTCATTTGTGATCTTATATACTTCACCTAGTTCACAGATAATGCGCTCAAATCAGAGCAGAGCCAGAAAACGAAACATGTTTTTTCCAACTGAATAACAAGAATAAATCTCATGCTACTCAACGATGTGAAAAAAACAAACAAACAAAAAAAAACAATTACAGAAAAATGGTGTACGTTTACATTCATAAACCCTCTATCGGGAGTGTACTTTTCCTGCAATTTGATATGGTGAGTTCTTACATATACAGTGCACTCAAACTGGTTTAAAGATATCGCGTTAATTAATGCACCAGAATTAGGTGAGTTGTGGGGATACCTTTAGGCCTCGTAAGATGGCCGATTTAATGTTTAAAAATGAAAGACCCGTTTATTAAAGTCACCAGATAGTCTTGTAATTATTGCTCCATCAATCCCGAATACCACGACCCTGTCCCTCTTAAGTTCCTCTATACATATCTTGGACCCCTCAGCACTCCCCTGCCTTTCCTCATTGGCTTAATGTCTTTAAATATTAAAAATATAGTAAAAATAGCAGACATGAACGGTTTCATTTGGAGGCAAATAAATTTATTTTCAAACGTAAAAATTTTGGGTAACAAATGTCTGTCTTAATATACATGCGTAGTAGAAGATGTTGATACCACAAGGATGAAAAATTTTACAGAAAACGTTCATTCGAAGCACAATAGTCAGATAGTTGTTCTTGCTTGCTTTCTTGAGGTGTTAAATTTCGTAGTTTAAGAAGAAGGCCATTTTACAGTTGTGTACTTAGTTGCCAAGCCTTTGATTTGGAGTGAGGTTGAATGTGACCCTGTTGTGATAGAGACCAGTATCTAATTAGAATGATAACAAAGTAATTTATATTTGAAAAGCACCCTTGGTTGTATCATAACAAGGTCACTCTTATCCTCACTCATCTTTGAAAGCTTAGAATCCAAGCACACAACTGTAAAATGGACTATTAGTAAATGACCCACACGCATTGCACCTGCCTCGCACTTCCGTTAGCTCGTGTGAAAAACGCCACGTGGCCAGGTGTGTGTCTGATAAGGGTTATATGACTAAGTGAAGTTAAATTTGGTCTATAACATGAACGTGTTGATCACATTAGAGGAGTTGTAATAGCTATAGCGAACGTGATCATCAACAGACCAATACATGATGGGAAGTCGACGCGTAACAATAGGGTGAGGACCTTTCCTGCCACTGCTCCTCAAAATTGATATTTATGTAGTAAAAAAATCTTTCTTATATCCACGAGTTAAAAACGGCTGAAATCTGGGTTGAGATCGACAAAGTTTTAAGGAATAATGGATCTCGAAAACTCGTCTAAAAATGGTGCGTATAATCTAGAATTTTAAATAAGCTTTTAATATTCATTCACCACCCCTTTTTTGTGTTT